TCCCCGGGTGTCCTCTCCGTCTCCGCGCCCTGCCGCATGCCGGAGCTGCCTCTGATCCCCTGTCCGGGCCTGCGGGGTCCCGGGGCGGGGTGAGAAGCCCCCCGGGGGAGCTTATGGCTTCCGACAACCCGGCACCAGCACCCAGTTCTCTTCCCTGGCAGCGGGGTGCCCCGTGTGCCCCAGGGATGCCTCTGTGTGTCTCAGGGATGCCCCTGTTGCCCCTAGGGATGCCCCTGTGTCCCCAGGCTGGACAAGCTGCTCTCTGACAAGAATCCCTGTGAGCCCCCATCTGCTCCCTCCAAGGCCTGATCCCCCATTCGGCGTGACTGCCCAGGGGGCTCACGTCTGCTTCCTGCCCCGTGGAGCTGGGGTTTCAAGCCAGGAGCCCCCTGAGCTCCCCCATTACTTGCCTGGAGCATCCCCAGCCCTGGCTGGAGCAGAGGCCAGGGGGACAAACAGGGTAACCTAGTAGTGCTAGGGGGCAGCCCTGGGGTGGGTATGTGCTGGCCAGGGTGGATGCTTGGGGTCAGCCTCTAGGTGGGGGCTCCAGCTCTGGCCCAGGGAAGGTACATCCCACGCCAGGAACACGGCTATAGGTGCTCCCTAGGAACAGCCCCCCCTGGGCCAGAGTGTGGGTGCCTGGGGTAGGTCCCTGTGGGCATCAGAAGGTCTGGTCCCACCACGACATCTCCACCACCCTTTTGCTGTGCTGGCCACTGCAGTCTGGTGTGGATGTGGCACCCTGAAGGGATGGCACCGTATTTTTGGGGGACACACATGTGTGCTCCAAGACAGCTGCCTAGAGGTGTGGGTGTCTGCCTGGCAGGGAAGGAGTTAACATCCCGGGAGTTTTGGGGTGCTGGGGTGTCCCCAGATGGGTACACCCAGGCTGCTCCTCACACCAGTGACCTCACACGACTGCCATGGCAACGGCTCATGATGTCACCAGTGCTGGGAACAGGGTGGCTGCCTCAAGCATGGGGTGATGGGATGGGAGCGTGGGAGGCTGCTGAGCACCATCCCCCTGCTCTCACTGCACCCTCCGGCTCCCTCCAGAATGAGCTGTGCCTCCGCCGACACCTCCGCCTGACCCCCGCCCTGTCCGTGCCACCATGCTCATCAAGGAGTACCGCATCTGCATGCCGCTCACCACCGAGGAGGTGAGTGGGGGGCAGTAGGGGGCTGGGGCTGCCTGTGCCCCCTGGAGCAGGCAGGAAAGGGGAATGTTGGTTGGGAAGAGGGATGCAGAGGCTAAGAGAGCACCAAGCCCCCAGCTGTGGGTGCCAGTAACAGCTCAGCTGCAAGGACACACCGATGGAGGGAGCTGTGGGTGAGGGTCCTGTACCCACAGTGGGATGTCAGTGGATGGGATTCCCTGCCTGGAGAGGGACTGGGGGACACTACAGCCCCCTTTGCTGATCCCTTGTGACAAGGACCTTGGCTGAGCTGCCAAGGTGTGCTTTTGCCATGGCCATTGGGCTCCAGATGCTTCGTGTGAGTACTGAGCTGTGTTTTGGGGTGCAAGCAGGAGGGGACATCCCATCCCTGCGCATGGTGACCTTGGGGTGTGGAGCCTGACAGCAGTGACAGGGGCTGCTTGGGGGCAGCCCAGTTCTGCGGCCATGGGATGAACAAGCAGGAGAAGGGCTCTGGGGATTTGGGTGCCCATGGCACCACAGCACTTGGAGCAGCTGCTCTGATGGGGAGCTCCTGCAGTGAGCTTGAATCCGTGTCAGTAAATAGTGGCAATAGCCGGCAGCCGGTGGCATCCCTGGCCAAAGGTCGCTGGTGAGCGCTGGTGCCGACGGGGCCGTTTTAGGGAGCGGGGAGCTGTGGCGGTGGTGCTCAAGCTGGGCAGTGCCAGCCCTCCCTGAGTTTGTGTTTGTACCTGGGGAAGGTTTTCAATGAGGCGGAGAGGGGCGATAAGATCGTGCTGGCGGTGAGGGTGATGGATGGGGTCTTCAGCAGAACAATAAAACACTTATTGTGCAGCCGGGTCATCAAATACACACACACATATCTATCCATACACACATATATGTGGATCTCTATACGAATATATAGTTTTTCTTGGCTCCTTACTTGCTCACTGAGCAGAAAGCCTCCAGGCACTCTGCAAGGCACTCAGACAGCAGGGAGGGCAGGATCCGACCCTCACCTGGGTGCTGCAGCAGCCCAGGGGCAAGGGGGTTAAAACAGGGTGGCCTGGGAGACCCCTGCCCGCTGCATGGCTCAGGGTCTGTCACTGCTTTGCTCTGTGCCTCAGTTTCCCCTCTTGGTGGTGCAGCCTGGCAAAGAGGCTGGAAAGTTGGCAGGGCAGGGGCTGGTGGCGCTGAGGGCAGGTGCTGTGGTTGCAGTACCGCGTGGGGCAGCTCTACACCATCAGCAAGCACAGCCATCAGGAGAGTGAGAAGGGTGAGGGCGTGGAGGTGGTGAAGAACGAACCCCACGAGGACCCTGTCCACGGCACTGGACAGTTCACCGAGAAGCGCGTCCACCTCTCCAGGTGAGGCTGAGGGTCCAGCATCGGGTGCTGGGTGGGGAGGGGGCCCCAGTGCCCTACCTCTGTGGAGCAGCTCTGCGGTGGGGAGCATGGGGAGACATTGGGGTGGTCACATCCCTCCCTTCAAAATTCCCTGGGAACATCCTTCCTGGGTCCTTGACACCCTGCAGTGTGGCTGCACTAATCTCCTAGGTGTGCCTCCATCTTCAGGGGCTGCACCTGTCTCCCATGGATGCACCCAGGTCCTGGAGTGCACCCATCTCTGGGGGCTGCACCCATCTCCTGGGTCTGCATCCATCTTCCAGGGTGAACCCATCACCTAGGGTGCACCCATCTTCAGGGACTGCACCCATCTCCCAGGATGCATCCACCTTCAGGGCATGCTCCCACCTTGCAGGGGTGTACCCCTCTGTGGGGGATGCACCCCTCTCCCAACGGACACCCATCTCCAGGTGCCAGTGGGTGACCCAGCTGTGGCGCAGCGCTTGGCGGAGATGTCCTGGCTGCTGCTCAGCCCATCTCTGGGGGTGTCCCTGTGTCCCCACATGCAGCCCCAGGTGCCCGTTGGGCAGCTGTTAGCACCCTGTGCTGCTGTCCCCGTGTCCCTGGCATGGGCATTGGCAGCTCCTGCACCGTGCCTCACCAGTGTGAGAAGGGCTATTTATAGCGGCAGCGCTCACGATTCCCCTCTCGGGGATGGTATTTATATCGCCTGCAAATTAATCAAAACTCACGGCCCGGCTCCCCTGGGGGTCTGATCCTGCTCGTGGAGCGTGGGCAGCCAAGGGATGCTGGGCAGGGGTGCCTGGGGGCGATGGAGGCACTGTGGGGTCCTGGCCCTGTGGAGGTTGGGGGATCCTAGGGCAGGGGTTGAGGGTGCTGAGGAGATAGTAGTGGTCCCTGGGAAGGTGGGGTGGGAGTGCTTGGGGAGGAGGTGGGGGTCCTGGAGATAGGAGGGGGGCAATGGGGTGGAGGGTGAGGATCCTGGAGATGTGGCAGGGATCCTTGGGGGCGTCCTGGGGTGCAGGTCATGGTCCTGGGGTACAGATGAGGGTTCTGGAGAGGTGGCAGCTGTCCCTAAGGGAGTCCCTGGGGTGGGTTTGAGGGATCCTGGGGTGCAAGTGATGGTCTTGGGGAGGTGGTAGGGGTCCTTGGGGAAGTCCCTGGAGTAGTCCCTGGGGTGGAGGTGAAGATGCATGGGAGGGTGCTGGGGTGAAAGTGAGTCTCCTGGGGAGCAGGTGGACTCCCTGGGCAGGTGACGGGAGTCCCAGACCCATGGCCATGTGGTGGGGGGCTGCATTCAGTGGAGTAGGGCTGGGTGGGACTGGGTCCATCGGCCACATCCTGCTCTGAGTGGAGCCCCCCTGCACCCTACCGTGGTCCCCCACAGCAAACTGCCAAGCTGGGCACGGGCTGTGACCCCCCGCATCTTCTACATCACGGAGAAGGCCTGGAACTACTACCCCTACACTATCACTGGTGAGCCCCGCACCGGGACGGGCACTGCAGGGCACCCTGCCCTTCTCTGGCAGCCATGGGCTGCTGGGAGAGCCTGGCCATGGCCACTGCCCCATCTCACCTCCCTCTCTCCCCCATGATGCCACCCCATGATGCTGATGTGCCACGGTGTCCCTGCAGAGTACACGGTAAGGAGGTGGCATGGGGGACCTGGTCCCTTCTCAGCACCTGGCACACTGGGGCGGGGTGTCCCCTGGGCATGGATGTCCCTTGGGGTCAGCATCTTTAGGGGTGGGTATCCCTTGGGTCTGGGTATCCCTCGAGGTTGGCGTCCTTGGGGCTGGGTGTCCCTTGGGGATGGACAAACCTTGGCTGGGTGTCCCTCAAGGTGGGCATCCTTTGGGATCACCATCTTTAGGGGTGGGCGTCCCTTGGAGTCAACATCTTTAGGGGTGGGTGTCCTCTGGGGCTGGGCATCCCCTGGAACTGGGTGTCCCTCAGGGTGGGTGTCCCTTGTGGTTGAGCATCCCTTGGAGATCAGTATTCTTGGGGCTGGATGGACTTTAAGAGGGGGTATCCTTTGGGAATGGGTATTTTTTGGGAGTACGTGTCCCTGGGGATGGGCATCCCTTGGGCCCAGCTGACAGCTGCTCCCTGCAGTGCTCCTTCCTGCCCAAGTTCTCCATCTACATTGAGACCAAGTACGAGGACAACTGTGGGGACAGCGAGAATGTGAGTCTGAAGTGCAGCTGAGACCTGGCAAACTCATCATGGACACACACACACACACACACACACACACACGCATGTGCGTGGATTGCGCCTCTCACCCTACCTTCCCTCCCCAGATCTTCTGCAGTGATAAAATCCTGGGTGACCACGAGGTCACCTTCCTGGACATCGCCTTTGACGAGATCCCTGAGCGTTACTACCGCAGCCTGGAGGTAGCATGGGTGGGGATGGGGGAACCTCCCCAGGGCCATCCCCTTGTCTCTTGTTCCATGGAGGGGGCTCACAGCCCCCCACTTTACCCTCCCAGGACCCCCGTTTCTTCAGCTCGGCCAAGACAGGCCGGGGGCCGCTGCGGGAGGGCTGGCGCCAGCACACCAAGCCCATCATGTGCTCCTACAAACTGGTGAGCGTGAAGTTCGAGGTGTGGGGGCTGCAGACACGGGTGGAGCAGTTTGTGCACAAGGTGAGGGGGGGTCCAGGCCAGGGTTGGGGAGAGGAGGTGGGGGAATGACATTGTGACGGGGTGCTGACCCCCACGATGCATTGTAGGTGATCCGGGACATCCTGCTGATTGGGCACCGGCAGGCTTTCGCCTGGGTGGACGAGTGGTGCGGTGAGTCCACAGGGTCACCCCTGTGACGGGGGGCGGAAAATGGTGCCCAGCGGTGGCCCTGGACCCCCAGGGTGGGAGGGGGCTGTGGTTTTAACCGCCAGTGCCACTAACACCACAGGCAGCTCCTGCTCTGCCTCCAGCTCCCCTTCACCCCCTGCACTCCCTGTTCTGCCTGCGCTCCTTGCACCCTGCCCTCATGCCTGCCTGCATCCCCGCATGCTGCCCACTCCACTGCACGCCTGGGGAAGGCTTGGCTGAAGTGAGGGTGATGGGGAGAGGAGCACCAGCATTTCTGCCTGTGCTGCCTGCACCCCTGGCCTGGCAAGGACATGGAGAGAAGCCCCAGCATCCCTACCTGCACTGCCTGCACCGCCGGCATGGCAGGGGCACACGGCGCGGGCCCAACTGGACGTG